GGGAGTCTGCTTTGCCCTCTGACCCTATCCCCTCTCATGTGTCCTCTCTCATTCTCTCTCTCTCAAATAAATAAATCTTTAAAAAAAAAAAAAAAAAAGTATGCACTTTGCATGTGCCAAAGGGCCCTCAGTCTCTCCAGCCCTGCGAGCTGTGCAGAGGGACTGGACACAGTGGCAGATACTGGGAGACAGGTCAGCAGCAGGTGCTCTGGGAATCCAAGGCCTCTTCTACCCAAGAGCAGATGGTGGATAGCAGGAGGAAGTATCGGGAAAGCTTCCTAAAAATGGGGCCTGTAATGAGTCTGAAAGCATGAGCGTGCACAGATTACAACGGGGAGGAGGAAGGATGAGTCCCGGAGGGAGCAGAGCCTCAGCAAAGGCACCACAGGATCCACGAGCAGCTACGCCCACTCCCGGGCTGCAGGGGCCTGAGACTGCGGGCAAGCACCAGAAGCTTGTAAGTACAAGAGGCAAGGTCAGGCTCGTGTCCTCACAGCAGAGGTCCTGGCATGGGCTCTGGAACCAGGCACACCAGGGTCTGCACCTGGCTCTGCCTCCTGACAGGCACATGACGACGGCAGGGCGGTGATGCCCCTGGCCCGACGCTCTCATCTACACGACACTTACACTGCCTGGTGCTGCTGTGGAGCTTTAATGACATAAAGAACCAGACACCCAGCCAACCCAAAATGGAAGCTCTTGGGGCGCCTTGGGGGCCCAATCCGTTAAGTGTCCGACTCTTGGTTTCGGCTCAGGTCACGATCTCCGGGTTGTGAGATCCAGCCCCGTGTCAGGCTCTGAGCTGGGAGTGGAGCCTGCCTGAGATTCTCTCTCCCTCTGCCCCTCCCGCAACCTACCCCACCCTAAATAAATAAATAACATCTTTTTTAAAAAAAGGAAAGTCTTGTAAAGATCTGTAGAAAATGCTGGCAGTGAAGGGCCCGATCTGCACGCAGGCAGGCCCGCCTTACCTGACAATGGGAAGTTTGGTGAAGGGCACTGGAGGCAGGGTGGGGCCGCCTGGGAGAGTGAGGAGCTCCATTGTCCCAGGACATTTGCATGTGTAGTTCTCTAGACTCTGAGTCACATCTTTCTTTTCTGAAGAGAAATTTAAAAAAAAAAAAGTTAATTAACAAAACCTAGGGGGCTTGGGCGTTTTTTGGGGGGGTGGGAGGGGTTTGAGCAAAATAAAATTCTTAACCCAATCCATGACAGTCCTTTGAGTCCAATCTTCAACAGAAATAAAGGGGCACTGATCACAAGAAACAAAAAGAAGCAGCTTTAGTCACTTTACTTAAATAATCACTAGCAACTGCTCCATTTTAGAGGTATACAGGGAAAAAGGAAGTTAAGTTCCTGTCTTATAGAAGATTTCATTTCCCAAGAGAATAAATCCTTACCAAATTCCAAGAAAGTCAGCGGGCAGGCAGGACTGGTGAATCGGTATATTTTATTACCTGACAAATATTTTTCCACAAATTATTAGGTACCAAGCAAAATGCCAGGCCCTGTCCCCAAGGAGTTTACAGTCCATCTATATAACCGATATTTAAGGGAATAATTATACATCAATATTTTTGGTACAAAAACAGAGCTTTGTGAGATCAGACTGTTTTGCTCTGCCCCATCCCCATCCCTTCACTAGGAGGAAGGGGAAGAGGAACCAGAAAATGCTTGCTTATCGTCCACGACATGCTCTAAACACGTGCTTGCAGACTTCGTAACACTCTAGAGCTCAAGAGCACATTCCACACCCCAAGACGCATAATTACTCAAGACAAGCATTTCGATGCCCTGTCTGCAAATGGGAAGGCTGAGACCAAGCTGAGTTAAAGGGCTTCTCCAAGATCTTGTGTTGGCCCTACGCCCGTGGTCTTCTCACTGATCCCTTCAGAAGAATGAAGAGAAGCAGGGACTGGGGACAGGGTGGGACAGGGAGTTCACACCATCTGACCTCTATTTTCTCAGCCATGGCCTGCGGGGAAAGGTGGAGGGCTTGGGGACCATGGTCACAGAGGGACACAGCACTCCCACCCGGTGAGGCCTGGGGCAGTGGAGTCAGACCCAGGTTCATAGGGATTGGCTCAGTCCCTCCTTTGGGAGGTGTGACTGCCTTAGGGGAAGTCACTCAACCTCTCTGAGCCAACAGTTGCCTCTAAAGAAACTACTAGGGATGGAGAGAGGCAAAGCTCTAAAAAGCAGCAGCAACTGCAGACGAGCACACGGTGTGCAGTGAGATGGCGAGAACTGGGAGAAACACGACAGAGTTGCCAGAGAACAGGCAAAGCCTGCAAAGTGAGGACAGTGCTCCTCGAAGACCGAGGAGCAGAAATAACAAATATCCAGGCAAGGACACACATTTGAACTGATAAGCGGTGGCCACAGGCATCTCCTATGTCTGAACATCATTCTCGGGGGAACATGAGGGCATGAAAGCAACCAGAATTAATCCTGGATACGACACAGTAATGCTCATCCGCAAGATGAACAAAATTCTTTAAATATTGACATCGTCATTGATGTACAGATGATCAATCTCCTGAAGGGCTCCAGCTGACAGCATGCAAATGACCTAAGCTGCCTGATGTTATGTGCAGTGCTCCCGGTCCAGGTGTCCTATTAAGTCGAATTACGCCCTCTCAGTAAACCCCACTAAAGTGAAGATGGAAACGAATCTCCTTGCGAAGCTCAGTGCCACCTGCAAGGCTAGCAGGTTCCTTGGCTTAGCTACAGACTGGCTTCTCCGCAGAGAAGAAAGGGTACGCCGTGAGTGCCAGCAGGGAGGCACAGCGGCCGCGGCTCCTCCTGCTGGGCCAGCTCACCAGGGAAGCCCCAGCCTTTGTGTTCGGGCCCCTCCTTTGGGTCTGCTCATTCTCCACGTGGGGGATGAACCTGCTGCGGGCGTCGTCGGGGCTCTGCAGAAGCTGGGGGAGAAGGTGCACATCTCAATATCCTTGATGTTAATGGGGCCCTCCCTGCCAGTTGTGCCAGGGGGCTCCAGCCAGATCACCCTTCTCCTTATTCTCCGGCGGGTGAAATGCTAATCTGCTGCTGCGGTGGAAAGCCACCTGCCCCAGGAGCCAGGGAGGAGATGCGGGGATGTACTCAGCTCCTGAGACGATTATCAGCACATTCTCCTGCTCCTACCCTTCTCATCACACTGCCATCCAGAGCGCCTACGCTTTCTGGAGCTTCTGCCGGGCACAGGAACTCAGGCTGCTTCTCAGCTTCAGGTCACGATAGTGCGGTTTCCAGAGTAAAATGCTCCTGGGCGATTGCTGGTGTGGCCCACCCACTGGAAAGGTCCCATCGACCTTTTTCCTCGTGAATTTGAGCTTCTGCTATACATTGTTGCCCAGATTTGTTATTTTATCAAGGATGACAAAATGGTGATTTTGTAATTCTTTAATTTCTCTGTACCTAAAACCCAGAATTTGTCTATAAGGAAGGGTTTTTTTCCTCATCAACCAATTGGCTACCCTGAGACACAGATGATAGAGTAAAGAGGGTTAGCAAACAGACTTTCCCCGTAATTCCTGGAGCAGAAAACTACCTCCAACAATGACCAGAGACTTATACATGACTTAGAATCTTTGCAAACTGGTGGATTTTTATATATTTGGTATTTCAATTGACTGCCATCATACTCTTTCTTGATGGTCAAACTGTCCCATCTTTGTCCAGTGGGAGCCCCTTCATGTTGAATCCTGTGTCCTTTAGATAAGGCCCCATTATTCATCAAAGTCTTGCTCCTTCTAGCTCATTTTCAGCCCCAGACCTAGAATCTTCTAGTGTGAAACAGTGTTTAGAGATCAGAATCTGGAGGCCGGGGTGCTCATTGCTACTAGATTCTGTCTCTCTAGACCTTGACAAAAGGGTCAACTTACAAAATTTTTTTAAGTGGTGAGATAGTAACTGATTTTCTTTAAATTTTGTTTAAGGTTGTAGCAGCTAAAAATAGTTTATTGGACTACAATTTCCTTAAAGGGAGAGTCTTGTCATCTTTTTTGTTCCTCCCTAACTTGTCAAAAGTGCTCAGAAGACAGAAGGTGTTAAAGGATCTATGTGTCTGTTGGTTGGCTGACCTTATTTCTTCAAAAAGGTAGCACAGAATCATTCTTTGTTCAAGAGTAAAATAAAAAAGGGGCGTCTGGGTGGCTCAGTCGATTGAGCGTCCAACTCTTGATTTCGGCTCAGGTCATGATCTCAGGGTCGTGAGATCGAGCTTTGATTCGGGCTCCACACCTGGCGTGGAGCCTGCTTGAGATTCTCCCCCTCTCTCTGCCCCTCCCCCACCTCTTCCTCTCCCCACCCCCCCAAAAAAAGAATAAAATAAAAGAACAAAATGAACACATGTTCTCTGTGCACACGGTACAGACTAGCAGCCCCGGAGCCGGCGACAACAGCCTCAGGACAGTGTACTGAGCTCCCCTTACGCAGAAGCAACGCGGGCTCGGCGTTTCGAGCATCCCACGTGGAAAGAGAACACAATGTCAAAACAGAACGTTACAACTCCTCATAAGTGGCTTCACAGAAGCAGGGTCAGAGTCTGGGAGAAGAGCACGCGGGAAACCTGATTTGGCCAAGAAGGCTTCATAAGGAAGAAGCAACACTGGTCTTTGTCAAGGGCCACCGGACCCCGGAAGCAGACACATAGGACAGTACTTGGAGGTTTTGCTGAATGGCAAGAATAAGGACATATGGCGACTGAAGAAATCTGATGTCCGAGGCCCACAGTGCAGGGGGGAAGAAAAGAGTAAGGACATAGAAGGAACAGTAATATATCATCATGAGCTGTATGTACAGAAGAAAACCTGGCAGAGAAGCTGCCTAAGGCACGTGTGAGAGGGAATAGACTAAGATGGAAAACGTCAGAAGGGGTGACGGATGCGGGCAGCACAGGGACCCTGCAGGAAAAGAGCCAAGTAGTAAATGGCTCTGGCTGCAGTGGGGGAGGGTGACCCTGGCTTTGCAAGACAGCGACTGCCAAATATTTCACATATGCTTCCCACGTGTGTCCCTTCTCTGTGAGGCAGGACCCTCAGAGACTGATGTTTGCTGCAGGGACGGGGATGGACCCAGGTTTACCAGACAGACAAGGAAGGCTTCCTGTCCGGGGAAGGAAAGTAGAGATGCTCAGAGGCGAGAAAGGGGGTGGGGAGTATCATTATCCCCCTCTTGAAGGTGATAAACACTAGCTCAGCAACAAGCTGGGAAATGTGATTGTGGATTGATATGAAATGCTACCAAAATAACTTACTAATTTTTAAGTGTAATATTAACATTGTGGTCATATAGGAAAATGTCCTTTTTTTAGTAATGCATACTAAGGAACGAAGGCATGAAATGAAATGATATCTTGGGGTTTTCTTTAAAATAATTCAGCAAATAAAAAAAGCAAGAGATGAAGTAAATGTATAGAAATCTTGCTAACCATTGACTCCAGTGACTGATAATGGGAATTCATTTTATTATTCTTTGTACCTTTATGTTTGAAAACGTCTCAAAGCAAAAATACTGAATGAGTTTGGGGAGGTGAAACGATTTGCTCAAGAGAAGAACAAGGTTGGAGTTCCGATCCGAGTTGACCGAGTCTTCCTGTCCCCACAGATCAGGTCTGACCACAGAAACCCAGTGTCAGGACAACAAACACCGAAGAACTCAAGGCCACAGTGGTACTAGCCCATGTTCCACAAGCCAAGCTGGAATGAAGCTTGTGATAGATCCGAACATTCCCATAAGCATATGATTTGGTCAGAGGGAAGTGATGACTCTTTCACTTACTTCACTAAAAATCAATTGCCGTAGTCTGCTCTGGCTGCCACAACAAAATGCCATAAACAGGCTGACTTACACCATAAGCACGTGTTCCTCACAGTTGTGGAGGCTGGGCGCCCCTGGTGAGAGCCCACGTCCTGGTCTGCAGCATACGCACCTTCCCACGGTGCCCTCACAAGGCCTTCCTCGGCGCACGTGTGCGTAGACAGAAAGAGCTCTCGTGTCGCTTCCTCTTCTCCTAGGGCGTTCATCCCACCTTCAGGGTCCCACCCTCAAGACCTAATGTACACCTGATCACCTCGCAAAGCCCTCACCTCCAA